GGGGGGGGGGGGGGGGGGGGGGGAAAGAAGACGAACGAATGTGAAATTGCATTAAACAAGGAAACAGACTTCTCTTTTTCGAATCAACGTTATGGAACAGTATGTATTATGCATTATACCGTGATATCTCCGAAAAAATCACGCGATTAGTTGTCTGGACTAAAAGTTACTTATTTGTCGCGCATATTTCACGACCAAAGATGTTACAAATCATCGTCTACAAACGCTGAAACGCAATGAATCGATCATTCGCGTTCCGAGCGAGATTTTCCAGCGTCGTCATCGACATCATCTCAGACGAATACAGGGTGTTTCGTCATTTCTTTCCACTTCGATTAGAAGAGAAATTCGAGAAGGAAGAGAAAGGCATATACGTACTTATGTATATAAGCTTCCGATCATTTTCACGGACATGCCCACCGCCAAGGACGATTTGAACGATTCGCCGAGATTTCCGAAGGATTAACAACAATGCGATGGTACGAAGACAGTACGTAGGCGATAATTCGAAGCGCGTGAAAATATTTTATCGTCGAGTTCAGCCTGGAAACCGGACTCGAGCACAGATTGCCGGGAGGTGAAAGCGCATATTGCGCTCTCCCAGTGTCAGTCACGGCCGAGCCGCTCGTCCTGCCGCATCGCGTCGTATTATATTGTATTTGTATCGTATCGTATCTTGTCGTATCTTGCCGTGTCGTATCATGTTGTGTCGTATTGAGAAATATTCTCACGATTTTTCGTTCATCAATTGCAACGATACAATTGTTCCTCGATCATCATTGTTTGCTGAGCCTCCAACTTACCCCTGATACAAAAATTTGATATTCGTGGAACTGTGTTCTTACGCGAGACTCGTTCGTAACGAGTCGACATGTCGTGGAAATGAAACAGACCTTGAAAATTTTCCGCCGACCGAATACACAAGGTAAATTACACCGGTTACTTTTTACGACACTTTGTACACGACATATGATAAAAAGTTGGCAGAAATTGAGATTTGTCCAAGGGAATAAGGATTATACGACTGTTTCCAGTTCGTACTTTTATCAAACGCTCCACATTAGGTCTCTCGTTACGTTTGTTGCATATACATTCTATATGTATGCACAATCGTGTAATGGAAACTACTTAAAGAGTTCTTTCATATACGTATAATAACTCCTGCGATTCACGTATAGTCGATGAGACGATCTCCTTGTAGAAATGAAAGTAAAAGAAATTACGCGATTCACGCGGCCGAAATGATTTCACCTTGTTTATTCGCTCGATACGCCAGGGTTTCCATCCTCTTTCTTCTCTTCGATTTCCCGATTTCACGATTCTCCGATCTTCCTGTTAACCTTCGGAACTTGGACAAATGTCGGCGTGTACACAATATTCTTAGCTTATCACACAGAGACATTCGTGCATGCGTGAACGTAAAAGAACGACATAAGTAGTAACGCTTGACCGTGAACGATGATTTTAAGTGGCTGTAAGCCTTGGCAACGGATCGGTGTTGCTCGTTGGCTGTTCGAGGAATATCGAAGAATGGAAGAAAGAAGGGAACGAAGCTGAAACGAAGCAAACGACGCAAGATTCACAAAGAACGCAGGGTCTCGTTCAAATGAGGGTCATCAACCTAGGCGAAGACATGGACACGCAGGAAACATCGTGCTACGTTCACGAAGGTCTCGCAAGATTTTAGAAAATTGCGTGGATTAAAATTTGATTTATCAATAATTATCGTGATGTAAAATTTCGATATACATATGTTGTATATAGACAAATCCATCTACACGAAAGAAAGTAAATAAATTGATTTAGTAATTTGATTTATCTTGAGAGATCGTATGAAAGTAAAAATCCAGTTGAAACCAGTTGAATTTTTCTCTTTAATTTCAGAAATTCTCCTCTTTCGTCCGCTTAGCTATTAATTATTTTGCAGGCGATGCATCCGACGATAGCACGTACGAGAGTCTTCATTCCTTCCAGCCGGAGGATGATTTCAGCTCAAATTCGGAAACGGAAACGGAAACGGAAACATTCGACGAGATGAAAGAACAAAAGGACAAAGATATTGAAACGGAGCAAAAGATTCCGAATCGATTGGTAATCGCGTATATGGAAGCGCCAACGAAACCGAATCCTCCTCCACCGCGTGAAGTAAGTCTGACTCGAACTCTTGGTAGAAGAATAAAAATGCTTCGAAGAACGTGGAGCATTACCAAAGGAAGTCTAGGTCGGATGCGGAGGAGGACCTCGGTTGACGATGATCATTCCTGCGAGGAAAACAAAGAATCCTCCAACGATCATTCGAATTTAGACAGTGGAAGATATTTTAGTTTTGCGAGGCATTTTAAGAAAAACGTTACCGGACCTTTTTCAACTTTTTACTTGAATGGTTACACTACGAACGACGACAACGAATCCACAGCAACGACCAGGGGTTCGAACAAGGAACCAATGTACAGCAATACCAACAACGAAGTAGGTAAGTTGATTTGAAAGTTTGAATCTGACGAATCATCGTTGCATATATCCTTGCCAATTTTCGAACTTTTCGCAATGTTACGTTAGATCACTACAGCGTATTTACCGATCAGGAACCTCTATATCAATTTTACGCAGCAGCCACTGCTAGAATAGCATTTGAATGCAACTCAGACGGTTACGAAGAGGTAACGTATTAACGTATTACAAACAATTCACCATTCTCTTCAACACTGAATGATTTTTAATCGTTATTGATTAATCGTAGGTCGAGGATATGATCCCATCGCAATCTACAACGGATCTAGCAAAACCAGGATATAGAATATTATGGTGCCAAACATCGCAAGTTATAAATAATGGTCTTTTACGTAAGCGGCTCATTGCATCGTTGCTTTTTTCATATTTTATCTAAAGTTTGTCGATGGTCACGTTTTACTTTTTATTAGAACGACTAAGTACGGAAGAGAAGAAGATCCAGGAAGCGAAATTCGAGATTCTCACTTCGGAAGCGTCCTATTTGAATTCTCTTCGCGTCCTGAAGAACGAATTCCTCAACGACTGTTTGTTCGATGAAATTTTGACGCCGATCGAAAAGGATAAACTGTTTGGCGGTATACCGAGCGTATTGCAAGCATCGCAACAGTTTTTAGCCGAATTGGAAACCGTATGGAGACACGATCCAATGTTGCACGGTTTATCAAACGTATTGCTTAAATATGCCGACAAATGTTTAGATATTTACGTTGCATATTGTTGTAAGCAAGTTAGCATAGACACGACACTCAGAGATTTAAGGTACATAGAAAATGTTTTTCTTTCAAATGTCGATAATGTTAACTTGTGAAATTATTATTCCAGAATGCGGAAGGGTTTAAAATTTGTAGAAACGGTCTCGCAAATAGAAGCTCGTTCAACTTGTCAAAGTTTATCTTTGCACTCTTTTTTAATGTTACCCATGCAACGAATAACGAGGTAAGATAAGTCTATACGCCGAATAACGAATGAACGACAAAAGCATATAACTGTGGTTCAGGCTTCCTTTATTGGCTGATGCGGTTCTTTCTAAACTACCAGTCGAACACGATGATAGATCTCACTGGGAAAGAATTTTGTCGAATTTGAGTTATGTTGTTGCCGAATGCAACGAAGGTGCCCGTGCCGCGGCGAAAGAAATCGAGATGGAAAATTTAGCCAGGTAATGTATATTAACAATAATGTTTATGGCTTAATGTTTGTGTATTTATATATACTGAACATCTGCAATTATGTTTCAACAGAAAACTCGAATATTCCGTAAAAATTAAACCGATCGTATTAAAAGGGAAATATTTGATCAAAAGTGGACCAGTCGTACAACTATCGACAAAAGCAGATTCCGAATATAAACTTACGTTTGGAAAAAAATTTAATAAAACGCCTCTCTATTTATTATTGCTCACGGATTTCCTTCTAGTCGCGAAATATAAATCCAAGTATAAACATTCCATATGATCACATTTTATTCGTTACATTGTAAAATTAAATATTTTTTATGATATTCTTTTCTTCTCTTTGTTACAGTACTCACGACGAAACGTACACCGTTATCGATGCTTGTAAAAGAAGTCTAATCGCTTTAGAATCAGTTCCCGAAGACTCGCCGTTCAGTGGACGTAATGCAATGTTATTGACTCTCTTAGAAAATCATTCCGGACATCAAATTGAATATATTTTAACATGTGAAAGCGACACAGAAAGACAAAGGTGGTTAGAAGCAGTTTCGCCATCGAAACGAGGACTAACAGGAGAAACTCTTTACGAGGTGTGGGATTGTCCTCAAGTAGTAGCTTTATATTACTATTCTCCAAATCAACCAGATGAATTATCATTACATCCAGGTGTGTAATATCTTCTGCGAAAAAGTTACTATACTTATCTTAATATTTTTGTGTTTCAACTAACGCGGCATGTTATTTTCAGGAGATGTTATAAACGTATTTAGAAAAATGTCGGACGGATGGTATCACGGTGAAAAATTGTTAAATGGTGAACAGGGCTGGTTTCCTGGAAATTATACGAAAGAAATTGCTTCGGAACATGTTCGCGCAAAAAATCTTAAACAGAGACATCGTTTCCTTATGTTAAATGGAAATATATTGCAACGGAAAACAAAGCAACAATCAGCTATTAATTAAATAAAGATTGATGTAATTACGAATTGCTAATGCTAATGTAATTTTTAATAAACCAAGTTTCATAATATTGTATATTAATCTAATCCCTTTCATTCTTACATACTGGTATATTACTCTAACATCGAGTTATAAATATAGGAATTGGAAAAAATGAAAACATGTCTGTAACAAAAGTATGTTGTTATTTATTATCTTCGTATAAATATTATAAATGTTCCCTAATAATCTTAATGATTAATAAATATAATTTATACGTTTTATCTAAAAGCCTGAGGGTAAAACACAAATAAAATTAATGTTTAAATAGATTATAACAATCAGTGGAATGTTCTGTCTATGAGACATATTCTGGAGAAGTGAGACATAATACAATTTTAGAATATATTCTTCCTAGTTCTTTTTCAGGAAAAATATTATTATGCTATTAAAAATATGACAAACTTTAACTCAAGTAACAAAGATAATTTTCTAGAAGCAAGAGTATTATATTTTCAAATAGAAAATTCAGCAACTTTGTCATTACTCTCTTCTGTGACAAACACAGACCTTTTCGTTGAATGTGTTCACTTTCATACATTACAGTGTATTTTAATGATATCTATATACCTGCCCTAGAATATCTAGATGGTTTTACTTCAAATAATTTTCTTACAAAATATACCTGGATAGCTGTTGTTACCATTATGACAATTATTTGTGCAATAGACCATGTTTGGACATAAGAATTGTTATCCAATAACAAATTTAAATCTCGAGCTTCTCTACTTCTGCTCAAATGCTGAGTCTGAAGCATCTTATTAATGTTTCTCTCTACATTTGTTATTACAGACTACAAAGCACAAATATGTAACAAACAATTTGATATATGCAAATGAAAATAATAAATACATACTGTGAAGTTTTCTACGGAAAGATTTAATTCCTCCAGCTCCCTTGAATATTTATCCCATTCATCGTACCTGTATTACATATATTGTTAATTATAATTAAAAGTTATATTTTATAACATGATAAATTTGAAAATATACATATGTAGATAAAGTTATTACCTAACCACTGTGATATATAAGTTCACTAATTTTGGTGCAAATCTGGAAAATTGATTATCTATACAAATACTGTAATAACCAGCATCTTTCACAGTATCTTGATAATCTGAATTAGAAAGCCACTGATAATGATGAACTATTATTCCATTTGGATTTCTTATTGCAAAACCAGCTTTTCCATCTCCACCACGTACTACCTGTATATACAAATATGTTTTAAAATTTTCTTTTCTTACAAATATTTGAAAATCTATAGATCGCAATGTATACAACCATATGGTTAAATACTCAAATAAATAATGGACTATATCTAAAATTTTAAGGGAAATACTCGTGTATCTTCTAATGTTATGCCGGTTCTCAACCCAAATAAATTAATAAGAGAAGCATTTTTAATAAAATAATAGTGTAACAAACAGTTACATACCTGAAAATTTACATAGAAAGTAGCACCAGCATCAACATATTGAAAGTAACAATCTTCTTTTCCAGCATCGATATAAACTTTATAATCTAAGGCCACCGCGGGTAAATTTTCATACCATGAATTAGGCATACTAGTGTTTACAAGGCTAAGAAACACTCCGAAAATTAGACTTCGTAAAAGATTAAACATTGTTCACGTTTAATCAAACAAGTCATCACAACGATCCACCTGGCCAACAATCGCTTTCACTGACAAATGTGTTTCAATGTACTTCTCTTACTGCCACCACAATCTTCAGTGCCTCTCAACTATTTTTATTCAACATTTTGTTCTAATTCAAATTATTTAAATATATTATAAATTTAATCACTATTTCATTTCAAAAATAAGAAAGCAGAAAACCTTACATTTATAAATATTATAATAATTTTATACTATTTCTAAGATATTGTTTCCATTTTCCAAATTCCATTTGTATTATAACATAATTTATTTGAATTGTTATTATCATATAATGTTTTATGGAATTTACAACAAATACACAATTAAATCTGTTATTTATTTAATCATATTAAGGAAATACAAAACGTTATAATTAATAAAAATAAGAATAATTTAAACATCTAAAATTTCGAAAACTTTATATATAAAATTTTTATACTGTAATTTAATAAGTCTTAAAAAGTTTTTATATATTTATAAAATTAATGTCTTCAAATTTTAATGTAAAGGTAATACACAAAGAACAAAAGAAATAAATATGTATGTATTGAATGATCTGAATTTCGATTCTCAATGCCAAGTGAAAACATTTGTGGAAGAAAGAGAGCTACCTAGACTTAATACAAATAAAAATCTAAATGAAATTGATTCGTTTTGAAGTGCTTGTATATGTATCTGTCATATTATATAATTGGTTAAACAATGTAATTATTCATTTTATATTGTGAAAATTTGTATGTACAGAAAGAAAAATTGGAAGATTTATTCTTATAACAAAGCTATCGAGTTATTCTTATTAAAAACCTATTATTGAATAGTTATTAAAATTATTTAATAACAATATCTTAATCAGTATTATATCATATAATTAAATTTTTATAAGTTTTCAATATACGATCAATCAAATCTAGGGATCTTTCCTGCAGTGGCAGCCCTTGCATGTACGTTTAGTATATTTTTCAAATAATCGTCTAGGGCACATAACTTCAGTTCATGGAGACATTCAGAACGGTTCAGAAGACGGGTTTGCTTGTTCTAAAATGAAAATTGTGGTGTAATTTGTAGCTAATAAATCACAGTTTTCTAAATAAACGAATATAATAAATAAATATGCAACGAAATATTTGTGACAATACGTGGTGCGTTTGTGAGAATGGAAAGTGTTGTAAAAATACTAAGGTACAGTAAAAGCAAAATATCGTTGTTGTCTGTGCAGTGTATAGCATAGGAATGGTATCGCCATCCAAAATTCAACATCAGGAGCATAAGCAGTCACCAAGAGAAAACAAATTAATCAAACACTCACGTATGTCTATATATATATATATATATATACATATATATATATATATACACACATATATATATATACATATATATATATGTTTATAACACAACAATTTATAATTAAATTATTAAATTTTCATGAACAATTTTTTTCGATGTTCGTAATAATATAAGAATTTACATAAAATTATTTTTATCGTTTGGATATATCAAATTAATTATTCTGTAATACTTGTGAAACTATTTTTTTATAAAAATAGTTGAACTAACATAATAAAATATTTTATACTAACATATTTTTTTAGTTTACATAATATATTGTCATGATATTTTTATCAAATCGTCACATTTCGTCAAATTTCTTTAAAATCGCATGTTTTTGTAACATTAAAAGGAAATGTATTCTACAAAATATAGTGAAATTAACAAATTTTTTATGACATTTCTGTGACATTTCAGATGTTCATGCACATAGGGATCTAAAATCGTTGGAAGGAAAATCATTTTACTTGGATATCAAGAATCATGCTACTACAGCTAAAATAGAAGCAAAAATTAAAGATTTGGGAGGAGTAAGTGTTTAGTTACGTGTAGGTGGCATTTGTGAAACCTTCACTTTTTACCCTTTATTTTCTCCTGTTGTTGATTCATTGCATAGTTTCAGTATATTTGTAGTAACTCCTTTTCTACGTATTTCCCTTCTATCTCGTATATTAGTTTGCTTTCTCGCTCACTCTTATGCTATTTATCTTCTGTCTTGCTTTCCACCATTCTCTATTGCTATCCTATACCCTGTTAGTATTAACTTGCCATCCAATTGTACATGCAATTCAAACATCTTTAATTTTACGATTTATTGTTTTCGAAACAATATTTTTTTCATTATAACAGTAAATTTGAAATTTTTTTAATTAAACTCTGGTTTAAATTAGTCGAAATAAATTGAATGCAAAAAAATAATGAAGTAGAAAAATTCCGTAAAATTGAGAAAGTATTTAAAAACACTTAATTTTAAGATATTTGACAAAAATTCTCTTGTCCCTGATGTTGAATATCGTAATGGCTGAAAATCATTAATTATATACATATATATCATGTTATATATTATTATGTGTGTATCTATATGTGTGTGTATATATATATATATATATATATAGGAAAGAAAAATATAACTTAGAAACTTTTAATATAGTGCAGACTATCGTAAAATATTTCTGTTGACAAACAACCGCTAAAAAACCGGGTCGTGTCACGCCATCTTTAGGAGAACCTGCGAAGTACGACGAAGTGGGGCAGATTCGTCGCTTTCAACTGTTGTGTTGTGGTTTGAAAAAACAAAAAATATGGACGCGAAAATACAGCGAAAAACGATTTTCACGTATTCAGTGAAGCTACCGTATTCATTTTGTCACAGTATTCGTCGACGGAGAACGAGCAAGAACGCAAAGCGCCGCCTCCAGGCTCATCTGCCAAGCTGTTAACGGCGAATGGCCATTTTGTGCGTGACAGTTCTCCCCCGCGAGTAACGATCTCATCGCGCGTCCTAGCACTCTTTTCCTTTGCCTCCTTCCTTTCGTTTGATCGCTCGAGATGTATTTCGACAAACTTCTCCCTTCAAACCAATTACCGTGAATTGCGTTTAAACTAATTTCTAACGCAAAGTTCGAAATTTTTGCTAATTTGCAAACGAATAAACAGTGTGGTTCGAGGAAGTTGTTTTGTATGAAGGTTTCATGCGTTTCAAGACCGTTTGACAGTAATTGAATATAAGCTCACCGACTATCTTGATTCTTACGAATTCGTTTTAAGAAATCCTTTTAAATTGACTTCTCGATAAAAACATCTTGAATTATTCCTTTCGTTTGATCCCACGTGCTTCGTTATTGTCCTGATTGTGCGATTTGTAATATATTATTAGAACGGTGTGTAACAATGCGGCAACCATTATTAACTACATGAAGATTTCCACCTACATACGCATGGTTCGCACTTCCGTGAATTCGATTGATAGTGCGTTTAGTAGCGCTTGAGAAGAACACGAAATTGTTTGACGTCAGCATACCGCGATGTAAACGTGTATTCGTGTGTCCGTCAAGGGATCACTTATCACCGGGCGTCCACACATTACGTATCCTTTTGATGCAGCCTCCAATTTTTTTCTCGTGAGTTAAATCACTAAAAACTCGGCAAACTTTTGTTCCCTGTTCTTCATATTTTGTTTTCTTTCCATCTTATATTTATCTCTCTATTTCCTATTTTTGTGTTTGTATTTCACCTTATCAAATTGAAAAAGCACATTTTCACTTAATTTAAAGCTTCCCTTCACAATATTTACAAATTACTCCAAAATCTCGACAATCATTGATAAATTTCATTTATAATTTTCTAGGTAATAGAATTATTTTTAGTACGGAGTGTAGATCTGGTGATTAGTGACAGAGTAGATAAGACCGGTTACATAAATTTCGAAAAACATAAATGGGGTTGTACCAGTGGAGGCAGCGGGGGACCTCCCTCGCTGAGGAGTTTAGAAACTCCAACCCCAATGCCAACTCCATCAATGTCATTTTTTAGTCCTGAATGCCCCTTGTCTAATACAACTAATCTACGGGGTCAAACTACCCAGAGATCTGTAAGTATCCTGTTTAAGTAAAATTTGTCTTGTACTTTTTGCTTAAAGCAATTTCATATCATTTTATGCATGTTTTTATAGAAATCACGGGTGGAGGCAATGTTGGAGCGTGCTCTGATACAGCCACAACAGTGTTCCGTGGATCCACTTTACAACGCCCAAAATTGGGGAATTCCTATTTGGGCAATTGACAAACTTCAAGCTTGGCTTGACAAAATCTCTCCATCTATTAAAGATACAAATCATTTGAAACAATTAAGGCACACAAATCAACAGAGTTCAACTAAAGATACAAAAGTCAGGCACCTCAAAGGTCCTTATCTGAAATTTGAATCCTTTCAGAGGTATGTTGTTGGACATAAAATCTTTATTATTATATATCAAGGTATTTTCATTTTCATTGATGTATTAATGTAGGAATACCAGACCTGTATTTGTTGAACTGCCTGTGTGGCCAACATTGAATTTTCACGGTGATCCAGGTTCTTGTCCTTTTAATACAAAGAGACGAGAAAAACTGGAAAAATTGCGAAAAGAAGTAAAAGAAAATAGAGAAGGTATTCGGACTATTAATCAAGAGGAGGTAACATCAGATAAGCATTTTGTGTTGTATTTAATTTAATCAT